TTTCCTGTCAGCCGGGATGGCAGAGGCTGACCACTTGGCTGGCTTCTATGCATAGCCCCGCACAGCTGCCAGCCAGGAGGGCCCATCGGGGGAGCTGTCCGTATCCTGGAGGCCCTGCGGTAGAGCTTCCACCCAGAGGAGTGAAGTCTCCCTGGCATGCCCCACTGGGGCCTTATGCCTTAGTCCACCCTCACGTCCTTTCACTTCCCCCTCCCTAGCCCCCTTCCTGATGTACAGTAAAAACACATGTGTTGCCAAAACCAAACTCTCTTTATTGACCATAACTGGGGTAAGGGGGAATGAGGGCGGGAGAGGGGAGGGGTAAACCTGGGAGGAGGGAGCTGGAAGGGGGAGGCAAGGGGAGGAAGGGAAGGATAAGCTCAGGATTGGGGGTCTTGCTGGTCCACCTGTCTCCCAGCACTGCGGGTGCAGAGGCCTCGGCATCCCGGGGCACGGAGCAGGTATGGAGGGTGGGGCGGGTGGGAAGCGGGAGAGGAAGAAGCAGGAGGGGGAGCAGGAGTGGGAGGAGGAGAGAAAGCTGGGGCGGCCACAGGGGCTGGAGCGGCAGCAATCTCTGCACCAGGGTCTGCAGGTGGTTGCAGATGACACACCCCTGGTCAAGCAGCTCCTGCAAGCTCTCCCGCCGCAGCTGCAGGTCTCCTGCACCCAGTGCTCCTGGCAGAAGACCTGCCTTCGCAGGAGCTCCAGGTGCTGCCACTGATACTCCTCCTGGTTCCAGGTCAGCCTGCTGAGGGCCCGGGTGCAGGAGGGTGCCCTGGGCAGGGTGGTGCGCTCTGCACTCGCAGCTGCTGCGGCTGTGGAGAAACACAAGAAGTGGTCAGTTCTCCCTGGGGACACAGTGAGTGAAGCCCAGCCCCCCTCTGCAAGGCGAGGACAGCAGGTCTCCGCACCATCATGTCCTGCTATCCCCAGAGTGTGAGCTGGCCCCTGTGCTGTATATAATGTGGGTGTTGGGGGAAAGGGGAGATGTGCCCTGCCTCTGTGTAGAGGGGGCTTGTGGAGGGAGGGCATGGTGCAGTGTCCCTCCCTGGGGTCAGGTGCATGTCATGTGCCTTCATACATACACGCATGTGGGTAACAGGCCATGGCCCAGGGTGGCACGGCGTATGCACAGGTTGCTGAGTGCTCCGTGGTCAGCAAGGCCCACAGGCATGGTCCCTGGTCCCCCTCCTCCCGCATAAGGGAACAGTGATGGCACTCACATGTCGATGCCTCCCCAGCCTCGGATGACACTGGCGACAGGCTTGCTGGGATGGCTCAGGGGTCCTGGGTGCAGGGCACACTCCCTCCAGGCTCCTGCGGCTCCTGGCCATCCTCCTCCTCCTGGGTGTCATGAGCAGGACCCTGTGCCCCAGGGTCGATGACCACCTGGGGGGCACGGACCGTCTGACCCCCCAGGATGCGGTCCAGGGCATCGTAATAGGGGCAGGGATATGGGTCAGCCCCTGGTTGGGGGCTGCCCCCAGAGGCCCTGGCATGGGCCTGCTGCAGCTCTTTTATTTTCATGCGCACCTGCTCCTGGGTGCGTGCGTGGCCTTTGATGGCCAGGCTGTCAGCCATCAGCCTGTAGTCAGCCGCATTCCTGTGTTTAGTGTGGAGATTGTGGACATTGGAGGCCTCCTCCCAAACCTCAATGAGGTCCACGATCTCCACACTAGACCAGGAAGGTGCCCGCCTTTTGTGGCCCCTGGCAGGCTCCTGGGAGTTGCCAGCCCCAGTGAAGGGCTGGGTGCCACTGGGTTTCTGGCTCATGCTGGGCCAGGTGCACGTACTGCTGGCTCTGGGCTGGCAGGTTTGCAGCTGGCACAGGCACTGTGGCCAGAGTCTACCCCTTTAAGGGCTCTGGGGCTGGGGGCGGAAACCGAAGAGTTTTCCTGGTTGTGCCCAGAGTAGCCACCAGGGCACCCTGGGAAGGGCTGGAGGCCCCCTATTTCGAAATAAGCATCTACACAGCGCTATTTCAATTTAGCTATTTTGAATTTGGCACTATTCCTCATGGAATTAGGTTTACCAAATTCAAAATAAGCGCTCCGCTATTTCGATTTCGGTTTGGCTGTGTAGACACCAGGAAAGTTATTCTGAAATAACTGTGCTGTGTAGAGACACCCTCACCGACATAAGCCAGCCAACGAATATGTCAGGAAGCCTCCTCTCCGCTCTGTCCATGTAACTGGAGTGTCATTAGCATCCCTGTTCTCAGGAACATCCTTCTACACCAGACCCCTGCAGAAATGACCCTTCGTGAGAAAGAAGACGCTGCTCCAACAAGAACTGTACCCGGCTCTCCTCTCCAACATTCCAGTTCCAGAGTAGGAGACGGTATCTGGAGGACAGGGTTGCCCTTATATCGCATGTTAAATGACTGTGTCCAGCTTGACACAAAAGCTTGGCAGCCATGAGCTCCCCACACAGGAGTCTAGATATAGGAACTGCTCCCAAGGCCTGGGAAGACATATGGGAAGAACATAAACATTGACACAGAAAGAGACTGGTAAATTCTATCTAGTCCAAAAGTCTTTTTCTAGCACTGGGCTATTCAAAGAAAGGTATAAATATCCCCCACGAAGCATCCAATAGTGCAATCATATAGCCCAGTAGTTATGTTGCTTCCTGAGCTTATCCGGGGATGAATTTACGACTGACACATGAGGATTGAAAGCCCTGGACATTTTTATCCTTCCTATTTGCAGCAGCAGCAGCGGCGGCGGCTGGAATAATTCACACCGGTTTGTCTCATCTTATTGAAACCCTCCAAGCTGTTTGGCTCCAGAAGAGCATGCAGAAGGGAGTTCTATTCCTCACTCTGACATAACATAAAGCACGGCTCCTTAAATGCTTGTCCATGACATTTATAGCGGGTAAACCTTGGTCCGTATTTGGGTGGAGACACCAGATTCATGGTTTGTAGTAGAAGCCAAAGAGATCTTGCTCTGGCTTCCAAAACAGACCATCCTTTGTTAGTCGGCACATGATAAGAGGCTGAGTTGGACATGGTATGGTGCCACACTCCGGACCCGGCCTACGTGACAGCAAGTAGCCACATTTGCACCCGGTTGTGAACAGCCGAGTGAATGACATGCTGTGAATCATGACTTACAGTCTGTGTGGATCAAGCAAATCACTTCCACGTC